CTTGACTGTCATTAGGTAGGGCTGAATTGTTTTGGAGGGTTGAAAGAGTAACTCAGATGTGAGGCATCAAAAAGAATGAGGAATTGTTTATTTACTTATGTGGTGAACTAGTCCTGTTGTTGCTGTGAGTTATCTGACTTTTCATAAGGAAAAGAGAGTGATAATTTGGATTTTTTTTCGAGATTGATTTACTTTTCAAAGTTAAAGAACTAAGAGACTAAGAACTAAGAGTTTTTACCTCTGGGTATCTTAGGTTGTGACAATATGCAAAGTTTTGTAGGAGTCTTCATGATTGTCTCTAGGCAGCCTGTTGGAGATCAATGAAACATTTTGAATTATCTGAGTTATTGAAATAGGAAAGAATTATTTGAAGTAGTGAGATGTCACTTTTGCACTTCGTTGGCTTACCTTAGTAAAGCAGAAGTGAAATGTACATTGCCAGAATTTTTAAGAGCTTTGAACTTTTCAGAATCAACCAGGTATTTGTTCTACACATATGGTAGACCTGAGGTGTGTCTGTGTCTCTGCTTTTGCACTATTGAAAGCATTCCCAGACTTCACAGAGACAATCACTGGTCTATAATATTCTCAGCAGAGGGCAGACAGTGGGATCTGATGTTGTACAGTCTATTTGCTATGACCTGTTACTGCTGGCAGCTGTATGTGGGATTTATAGGTGATGTCCTACTCAGAGCTTTGGGAATTCAATCTTCTCATACTTTCTTTAATAAATTGTCTTTTGCTGAAAAAATTTATAGCAGTATGGATTCTTATTGTCAGTATACTGAAGAGCACTCAGACTTTTGAAAAGGACCCACATATTTTATTAAGTGATGAAGAAGAGAGATTATGGAGAGCTGGGGTGGAAACTGAGGCTAAAATTATACCACATTTAAATTTTTTTTTTTTTTTCTGTGAGGCTTCTTGTGCCCTTTGCTGAAACCTTTCCTGCTGGACACATAAATGGAAGTGTTCTGGCCTAAATGGACCTTGTGTCTAAATGAATCTGGCAATTCCTATATTAAACATTTCAAGAATATACAAATAAAGGAGGTAACAGTTTATGGACTTCTATTTAACTTATATCCATTTCTTTCCATAATTCTTTTAGCATGTGGAAATGAAGATACAAGTATTTACAGAGTTCATAGTTATTTAATTTTGATTCATTATAATATTGAAAAGACAAGTTATTGAGTCACTGTTATAATAATTTTTTTCCTTAGCTGCAGATAATATCTTGATCATGTTAGTTTTGGAAATTTTTATTCTTCAATTTATTCTCACAATTTGAGAATTTTTCTCCTGTTCCAATTTTTGATCTCAGGCCATCTTGTTTCTATAAAGTGTTGCCTTGCTTTGTTTTGTTTCTCAGAATGATGGGTGATGTTGAAGTTCTCCTTGTGGGACATCTCACCATTGCTCTGGTGTATCCATATTCTTGGACCACCACACTGGAATATAAGAAATGGTAGAACCATAACTGAAATACTTACAAGTTGCTAATTGATACATGAAATAATATGCTGAAGAAAGAATTTTGGCCCCTGTTTTAAAGGTCTGGGATTCTAGCCAGCCATGCCACTACCACTAGAATTAGGTAGGATCATAAGGTATCATAACACCAGATTTTTCAGTTGACTGGATGCAGGAAAATAGGAAAAGGGCAACAAGTCTTTAATGTCTTCAAAAGGCCTTGAATCTATAGGATGCAACTCTCTCGGAAGGGTGGCTTTTTTTGCTATTCTGAATCTCCAAAAGGCACAGAAAGCATGAATCTGAAACATGAAACCAGGCCTGAGGTCCTAAGCCACAATGAAATAACAGAGTTGTTTCTTTTTCCAGATAAGTAATTACTCTTTGGAGCCAGGGAGGAGGGGCTTGGAATATCACTTGAAATTACTTCTCCCACACACACCTCCACATTTTTTTAAAAGACTTTCCATGCAGTGAAGTTAGTGCTTAATTCTTAGGAGCACAGAAATGGTGATTTGTACACAGTGCAAGAGGAGTACCTCTTGAGAATTGCTGGGGGACTGTTTAAAAAAATTGAAGGAAAAGGGGAAAGGTCAGCTTAGATTCCAGGCTGTTAAATCATGGACACACATTCAAGGCCCATTCCAGCCATTCTGAATTACCAGAATGGCAGAAACTCTGGCCCAGATACACAGGCTGTTGCTCTTCTATTTTCATTGTTAGGATGGTCCATGTTAAAAGTGATACGAACTATCCAAGTTTCCTAGTGGAAACATTAAATTTCATTATATCTGCCACAAAATTGAGCAGTATTTAGGACACTCAGCTGAGAAACCCATCCTCATAAGCTTGTTCTTCTGCCTTTCTGTTCTCGACCACCTTCTTTCCACAAGAGTAAAAAAAGCTTTCCTTTTCCTTCAGCTTCCCCCATGTTTATTCTGCTGTTCCTGTTAGCATGACTCTTTTGCCTGACTGCCTACACTCCTGTTTTCATTCCTCTTCAAAATTGGCTATTTATGGGATCAGTATCACTGTCTATTACCATGATGTGCAAATGCTATCTCTAAACATTATCAAAGTGCCTAGTAAATGTCATGGTAGATTGCTATACTCATTAGAAAACCCTAAGTGCTCAGGGTGCTTCTTTGCAGGGCTAGAAATTTGTTTGGGTTTTATTTAAGACAAGATCCATGATGGGGAGGAAGGGTTTGGTGCATTGATTGCATTGGCCAAGAGGATAAAGCAGCTGCAGAGGCTTGTTGATCAGAATTACTTTTAGTTTCTGGAGTTCAGTCCGTCATCAGCTTTAGAAATTAGGAAAAAGTTTTCAAACCAGCTTCCAGTTTTCAAACCAGTTTCCACATCTTTTGGAAGGACATCTTGACAGAGGGTTCTGAGTCCATGAGAAAGAGGACAGAAGAAGTGTGTCAGTGGCTAAACATTGTATTTATTTTGCTACAGCAAATGGAGCTGCCTGATTTTTGATCTGACCAAGGTATGGGCTGATCTTCACTAAGTAGGTCAGGAACAAGTTTTCCAGCAGACTAAAGGAGGCAAGAGATGTTTTCCAGCCATCCACACCTATGAGGACATCAGTCAGTACCCTATTGTACCTTATGGCTGTGATAGCTCTTAAAGTTTCAGGAGTATTTTCAGGCCCTTAAAGCATTTTTCCCAGTCTCACCAAGTCTGACTTGTTGGAGTTCAGCATGAGTTAGTCATCCATACTTTACCAAAGATCTGAATTCCTGTTGGTGTTCTGTCTTTTCAATAATAGTAAGAGCTGTAACTGTTGAGAATGAGTGTCTTTGCAATGTCATCAGCAATGCCTCTGTCGCCTTGGAGTATCCACCAGAGATTAACAAAAAGGATATGTGTGACCTTGCAGGTGAAGGCCTGGACAGAAGGTACAATTACATACCGTTCTGAGTTCTGCTTTAAACAAGACATTGCAAGTACCACAGGCAGGGTCACCTCTTTCTGAATCCAGCATTTTCACTCCTACATATTGCTCTATACGGGAGTATCAGGGTTTTTTCTATATTAGTGATGGCCAGAGAGGCAAAAAAGACAGCCTCCATTCTGTGTCCTGATATGAACCCTGACTGTGAGGCCTCCAGAAAGCTGGCACTTGTATGCTGCTGGCATTTTCTGATTACTGTGTTTTTAATCATTTTGCCCAGAAATGAGATGGCAATTGCAGACATCTACAGGGATAATGTTTCCTTCCTGAGGAGTGAAAAAACTACTTACTTTTCAAGGAGCTTGATAGGTGAATCTCTCTGACTGAGGCACTATTTCCATCTTTGGCAGGCAAACTTCTTCTGCATTGTTACCAATACAGAAAGCCACAAAAATGATTCATATTTTATGGGTCTAATTTTTTTGCACTTTTCTTAAGCTTTGCCATGTGGATATGAGGTGGAATGAAATAGATAATGGTATCTGTTGAAAGATGAACCATAAATTCCCTTATGTGCACTTACTTGATCTTACCAGTCCTGTATCTTGATGATTCTTCACAGGTTTTGGGGCTTCAGTATAACACTGTAGTTAAACTGCCTGGCTTGATGAGCTGTTTTGTGTAGTGAACTTCTGATTCTGGTTTTAACTGTGTAACACTTTTAAAAGAGTGATTTCTGTCTGTCTGATTCATTGGTCTTGAGCTACCTCTGAACTATGGTGAATTTCCTACCAGTGTATGCAGGTGGGAATTTACATGTTGATGACAATTAACATCAAGTCATTGGGCTACTGGTTAAGGCATTATTTGTACTCTGTTCGTGATTGAACTTTTCAGTGACGAGATTCTTTTCCGAAGCAGACCTGTTTGGTGAGAAAATTCCAAAGCACTGAGGAAGCAGTGGTTAAACTTTGGCTTGGTAGCATCCTAATCAAACCAGAAAAGTGGTATGTTGGTTTCACTCCCATCAGCAATTCCAAAGTGTTCAGTCCTGTGCATAAGCTCTGTAGGGTGTGTACCTTGTTCAGCCAGTGTGCTTTCTCTGTTTGACCACTTTCAGTGAAAACCTTACAGATAATACTTTACTATTGGTCTCTGGTCTGTTGGAAGATTCTGGTTTTGAATAGCTATGCAGCTACCCTCTATGGGTTCATTCTGTCATTTGTTCTCAGAGACTAAGAGTTGTGTAGACTCAAAAATGATCAGAAATTGTCCTGGATAAGGCCATCTAGTCCTTACCACTCAAGCTCCCTACATATCTAAGACTACTGGTAGTGTAATAATAAGGAATCAGGTCTTGTGCTTCATATACTACAATTTAGCTTTAGGGTTGGGGAAATGGGTTGCTTTATTTGTTGAGTGGGTTTTTTTGTTTTGTTTTGAATGAGAACTAAGGCTCTCTTTCTGGAATGTCTGAAACTCATTTCTCTTTGTCCTCATTCATAATCAATTCCAGAGCTATCAAGTATTTCATAAAATGGTAGCTACAGATTTTTTTCCTACATCAACCACTGGGACTGAAAAATAAATGCACATAATAGGGCCAGATTCTCAAGGCACATGTGACACTTTATTAAGCCTGTGTATATCATTGTTTACAGCCTCAGAAAGTTCTTGTTCTTTTCTCTGATTATATTCTCAACTACTGTTCCATTCAAGTGTAGCCAAAGACATGTCATTCTTCTTCTAATTCCTATGAACAAAGCACACAGCTTTTAGTTTTCATTCTTGGCCTTATTAATAATGATAACGCAAAATTACAAAACAAATGTAAACAGCAAAGAACCGCTAGGTGATTGTCAAGTTCCACTTGAGGATACATTTCAGGAGCCCCATGTATTCAGCTTATCTGACAACCAGACAGTTCTTTCATGATTCATTTCAAACTGCTGGAAAAGGTAATGAGAAGCATTTCCCAAATGAAGTGAGAAAAATAATGTTTTACCTACCAAAAATCTCCAAACACTTGTTACTCAGTACCCACATGAAGAGGAACATGGCTGTACATCTGTCTCTAAAATACGTGTGCCTGAGAAAGGAACACAGTGGTATTCTGAGCAGCAAAGGCTACTTAAGACTCTGTGGGTGCATTTTTTTGACCATTCCAGAAGAAGTTCAAGACATACTGGTTCTGAAGCCTACAGCCTTGCTTCCTTTTCCTTATTCCACCAATTTTTTTGTGTATATAAACACAAAATGCTGTTAAGTACTCCTTCCAGAGACAGCTTTTAGGTTAGTGAAAGAATGCCCAGTACAAACTAGTTTGATTACCTCCAGTGTGAGCTCATAGGTGTGGGGAAAAGATATAAATGGAAAATGCCATCCTGACTATTATATATATATATATATATATTATTTTTTTTAATTGTATTTTGAAATATTTACATATGAGCCTTTAACATAATTATTGTGAGTAATGGAGCCTGAGAGTTGTTCCTTCTGATGGCATTAATTCTCATTGTCACTACTGTACGTATTATCTTCTAAAACTGGATTTAATCTGTGGTTTGGATTTGTGGGAGCTGCTTTTTTTGGCTTTGTTATGTAACCACACTTAGAACTGTGCCAAACAGCTTGCTTGTTTCAGTGGGATGATAATTTGTTAAAGCAGGAGGGAGGAGAGAGGGACTGAAGTGCCACGTCTGCTTGGTTTTGCAAATATGGTACCTCATACCCACAAAGCATTTGCAAACATATAGCCAGCAGTGTAGGTGGAAGCTGTGTAGCATACTTTAGGAATTACCTCTTTTCAAAGTCTCAGAAATCTTGTGGGCTCAAAATATTCATCAGCATACTGATGTTTAATAAGTTGCCATCTGTCAGCTGAAATGTGGTAAATCCAGCGTGAATGCTTTTAGCCCACGGAAAATGTAAGGAAATTTGATGTAGCTTTGCCTGCAGGAAAAGATGGCTAAACTAAGCCATACTATCCCTCATTTGGCCAAACTAAAAGTGTGCAGCCAGGTATTTCCAGGCCTCAGCTGATTTACAATAAGCTGACCCATGACTGAGGGTCCTTCTGCACCTCCATCTGCAGCCAGATGATACTCAGAAACTGAGATCTGGAGGGATGGCTAAATTTAGCTATTTTTAAATTTAATTCAACTGCTTTGGCACCAGAAAGCCTTTTAAAATTTTCTCTGGCCAGGATGCATGGAAAGTACGTGCTCTGACAATGTAACACTGATTATTTTATAGATTTCTACAGTTCAATATTGTGAGCATCCAGGAGCTAACCCCCTCTTCCTGCCCCTGCCAAAATCTTTCAAGTGATTTTGTGGAGAAAGGTTTCAGAGAAAAACTCAAGAGAAAGCAGCCATGTGCTTGGGTTTTGCTACCTATCACTGACTGTTCTTGCAAAGTTGCAGGGGGATTTGTGGGTTACAAGTGTTCAACTCATACTACACAGCGTAGCTAAGTACAGTACTGTCTTGCAGGAAGTGAGGTTGGAATGTCACTCCTGGGCTTTGAGTACATTGTAGTGGGAAATGAACAGGAATTACCATTTCATCATGCATCAACTGACAGTTTCCTTTGAAAATTCAACTTCTGCTTGACTGCCATATTCTTGAGGCTGAAAGACACATTATAATCTTTGTTTGTCCTTACATGTGACATAGCTTGCAAAATCTACATTAACAGTTCCCAACTGAACCAAGCCTTGAACTCAAGCAGGCTCAATTGCAAGTATTTAAATGTCCATTTTAAAGAAGAGTCAGCTGGAAACCTCAAACTGCAACACATTCTATCTTTAGAGGAAAATGAATTTGATTTAGATATGAACTTTGTGCCTTGGCTTTGACTCCGTTTTTTTCTAAATAAAATTAGTATCTGGCAAAAATACTCCAACCCCCTTGCTTATTGGGTAATATAGTTCATTGGTCATTCAAAGAAGTGTAAAAGGATATACCTGGGAGACTGCATTCCTTTGGAAGGATGCAGAGTACCTCAAATGCACAATAGCCCTCACTGGGGTATGAAGTGCAGAAAAAGGCAACTGATTACTAAAAAATTCTGATCAAAATCAAGATGCAAATAATTCTCATCTATTCAATCTGCACTGAAGTAATGACCCATTTGGAAAAAAAAAGTTTTGATTTCACTTCTTTTTTTTATTTAATGACTAAGTGTAGACACTAAAGAAGGGAATTGACTGATTTTACGAGCTGATCCCTTTCCTTCCTCCTTGGCTCATGTGTCTCTCTGGTGACTAATGGGGAGGTTGCTTCTCTGGAACACAAGGGGAAAGTTTCAGTAAATTGCAAAAGCATGTTTGTTACTTGGAAGTCTTCTGGCACATTTTTGAGCAAAGTTCATGGAAACCATAAAACTATTCTGGAAAAAGACATAGAGGCCACATTATCAAAAAATGCACCTATGCACAGGGACCTGCTTGTGAAAAGTTCATTGCAGTGATCAGATCAAGAATCTGAGCTGTTGTGCAAACAGGTGTGCATAAAATCCATTACTGCATCTGCAGATGAGGCAGTTTCCCTGTCATGGAAATACACAGCTCTCAGATTTGCATGGTTGTCTATGTGTTTTATAAGCGTGAATTAAGTATCTAATTTTATCTGACAATTAAACTCTTTCCTTACCTCTTTCCTTGACCCTTCTGTTTTCCACGTGCAGAAGATAGAAGTTTGCCCTACAGAACAATCTAATGCTTCTAAAATATCCTGCCCTCAGAGAAAGCAAAATTGCTAATAACATTATATTGGAGACTGGTTTGCTCTCACAGAAACTTGATCTCAGTAAGACTTCTAGGTCTTCCTATCAGTAACTTGAGTTTCACTTTCTTACGTGAGGAAAATCATCAGAATCCATGGAATTGTAGGGAAAAATGGAGAGGAGAGGAGAGGAGAGGAGAGGAGAGGAGAGGAGAGGATATCCTCTGGCAGGCTTTGAGTTCTAGAAGAATAAGCTCACACTAGTCTTTTGGCTGCCTGGGTTACATCTGCAGCTGTTCATGTGCTTTCTTTTTTATATGTCTGCTTGCTGGCTTTAGTAGTCATATCCAAAAAAGCAGTAGATTTTTCTTTTCTTAAAATGCCCATTAAAAATGGATATTGCAGTCATGAAAGCTGCTAAGTAAGCATGCTGAGACACCTGGGAGACATACATAGGACAGGAATATTTTTTGTGTTTCACTACCAATATCTTTCCAGCTCAACTTGAAGCAAACAACTCTAATAGGAAAAGGAAGCTTCATTTTCCATAGTCCCTTAGGTCTTGGCTTCCCCAACAAGGAAGTCATATTAACATCTTCTCTGATGATGACTTAGGTGATGCAAATAGGCCTTTGCTGAGAATGGAACTGAAACTACATGTTAATTTCATACAATCCATTAAAGCATTATATAGGTCATCATTGGCGAGGTTTTAATTGGACGCCAACATAGTTTTCCTGAGCTCCTCATAGTTCTTTCAACTTGCACTTTTTTGCCAGTCCTGTACCCATCTTGGAGCAGTCTGCAGTGTGCCCAACAGGAATGTGTTTGCATGTTTGCAATTGCCTTTAAAATACCTTGCTGATATGGCTGGTGGCAGCTGCTTGCTCTACCTTCCTTTGTCCTTTTCTTGTATATTCACGTAACCTGAGACACGCTGGGAGCTTTTCAGTTTCATTTGTGATTTACCTCAAATTCTTTCCTTTGGCTGTTACAAGTCATGTCAGATGTATCAACATGGGGTTTCTCTTCTGCAATACACTCTCCTAAAGGTGAGCAGGTAGGCGCACTCACACACACACACACACACACACACAAAGAAGCTGCTGAAAATCAATAGATGTAACTTAAATACTGGGAGTGTATAAAAACATAAGCCACAATTCATCATTCAAAATGTATTAGCAAACGAGAGCCATGGAGAGAGCTGACATAAGCAATCTGCCCAACATACAAAGTGTTCATTTTCTGGAAATGCCCCATATGTGCTGACTATAACTACCTAACCCTAAAAACATTCATAGACAAGATTTTAAACAACTATTCATAAGAGTAACAACTCTGACACTGGGTGTTGGCTGAGAATTAATGGCTGCCCACAATTAATGGCCCTCAACTGCGTTTGAGCCATTAACTCCTCTCAGCTACTCAATTAGTCCCTATATACAGTCCTCAAACTCCTGTTGTCTACTCAGTATTGGACCAGATGAAAATATATTGTCTCCAAACACTGAAAAAGCTTGTAGCAATGTAAACTTTCAGCAAGTCTACTGCTTGCTTGACAAGGTTTGCACTAGGGAAATTTCTATGTTGAGTTTGGTCCTAAATTATATCTTTTACATATCTTTTGATTCCCACAATTAATCACTGCACATCATCATAGGGAAAGAAGACTTTCATATGCTGTAGTAATGAGAAGCCTCCAAGAAATGTGACTAATAGAGGAAATGTGCAGCTTGAGCTGTGAATTAATAATTTATATGAATTGCAAACAAGAGTTTGCATATGGTGCAAGTATGATTACAGATGAAGCTGTTCATGCAAATAAAAGGATCTGAGAAATAGTTCCACAGCTCAGGACCCAACTCCCTTTAAGACCAGGCCATAATAACTCTCATGACTTGGAAAATGCAGGGCTTGGTTACACAGAATATAAAATCTGGGACTGTGACTTTGGCTTTAGAGTGTGATTCTGACCTGAAGAGAGACACCTCCAAAAATATGGCTTGCTCATTTTATTAAATCTCCCTAATCCTGTACTTGGAATCATACTTGCTAACCTTGGAGACACAAATCCTGTGCTGAAAAGCTACAGTAAGTAATGCAGGAGGTGGCACTGGGGTTAGGAGTGAGATGGAAGGAGTCACTCAGCAGTTCCTTGCTTTGGGACAGAAATTAGTTAAAAGCTGGGATTTCCCTGTCGTGGAAAATATTGTCACTTTGCAAATTGCTGTCCTTCAGAGTGAAAACAGTTTGAAACTTCCTGTGGAATGGAAATTCTGTTGAAATACTCTGTAAAAAATGTGTCACAGTACAAACAGAAGGCTTTCTCTGTAAAAAATGTGTCACAGTACAAACAGAAGGCTTTCCGATATGTAAAGGGCTTCTGCCTTGACTTAGACACAGCTGTCCACTTATAAAATAAAACATGAGAATCAGCTCATAGAATATTGACAGCGTTGTACATTACACATCCTTTTAGACAGCATTGCTACACTGCTGCACATCCTTTTAGACAGCATTGCTACACTGCTGCACAAAATGTCAATAACAATATGTTTAAACCCTTAAAAATAAATTTATTTTTATAACTTTTCATAACAGATTTCATTTGCAAATGTTTGTAGATTGTCTGGATTTGGTTTCGGGGCAATTTGAAGTCTTGTCAAAATTCTGGCTTCAGATTAAAAAAACTTCTTTTTTAATCTCTTAAAGACCAGTGCTTAGAAAAGATAAAGCCGTGTCAATCCCGTTCAGAGTTGCTGCACTGGTACCTCACGCAAACTAGAGCACCCACATTACTGAGCAAAGCGCCGTGTATCTGTTTTGAATTGGGTCCTGTCAGGACGTCCATCATAATGGTGTCTGTAAGTCTGAGAATGTAAAGCTACTTGCTTTGTGGCCAACCTCTAACTACTAATAAGGGTTAGGGAGAAAGTTTCCTTGGAGGCAGTTCATCCCCTAATTGCTTGCACAGATTTTCTAAAGCCCTTCTCAGATGAAGTTGGCATTAAATCCTGTCAGAGCCAAAGGTTTAGCCCACAAGGACAGCAGCAGCAGCTCCTACACTCCCACAGCCATGGCTGCCAGTGCTCCAGGGCCCACACTCCAGTGAGAGCTGGGGGATGCTGGAGGCAGCATTGTTTGCAGAGGGCTTCAGTCAGGGCCAGGTGCCAGCACAGGCAAAGCTGAGCCTTGTCAAGGGTGGCAGATGTCTAGTGACAGCAAAAAAGGCTCTGCAGCTTCCTGAGTCTGTTGGAGGTCTTGCTCCTTGGCTTGTCACTATGGTCTCTGGCAAGGATGAGCAAGAGGGCAGAGTAGTTGAGCTCAGGGCCTCTTCCAATGTCAGGATGAGAAACGAGGTCTCTACCCTAAGTCTTTGTCATACCTCTGCTTTTTGCCCTTCCCTCCAACGACAGTCTGGCCTCTCATCCAAAAGGAGGTAAAATGCATTTTTGTCCTCTCTGTTGAGAATCCTTGAGACCTACATTCCTTTTACTGAAGAACTAGGACTGTGGGGAAGTGAATTTGTGAATAAGGAAAAATAGGGACCTATTTTTGTGAGATGCAAAATTATTATACTGAGTGGTTTAACAATAACCATATGACAGGACCCAGGGGAGTGGCCTGAAACTGTCAGGGGAAGTTTATGTTACATATCAGGAAAAGAGTCCTCACCCAGGGGGAGGCTGGGCACTGGAGCAGGCTCCCCAGGGAAGTGGTCACAGAACCAGCCTGCCAGACTCCAAGAAGCATTTGGACAATGCTCTCAGGCCTATGGTGTAATTCCTGGGGCTGTCCTCTACAGGGCTAAGAGTTGGACACAATGATCCTTGTTGGGTCCCTTCCAACTCAGAGTATTCCATGATTCTATGTTTCCATTAATATTTCCAGGTTGTGCTGG